TTCATGAATAGTTCAACATGCGTATTAAAGCTCCTTTGCTACTTGTTATATTTGCTTGCAAGGCTGATACGAGCGCCACCATCATTCATATATGGCTTGCAATACTCATCCTACCATTCTTGTGCATCCATTTCTAATTAGATCACACCTCATTAATCATTGTTGATTGTTGTATGGTGGCTGCACATATTCACAACTAGTATATTATTCACCAATGGACTAGTACATTTGACTGTATAAAAGTAATTATAGGAAACTATCGTATTCACTATGCATTCTCTCCCCACTTGCAGTGAATCGCATCGGCTATTACAAGCCTATCATTATTTCATTAATATTCACTTGAGGACCTTGCACCATTGTGTATAAACAATTTGCGTACTGACATTGATTACAAGGCGTAATTTCATTTATTACATGCTATTTTGCGTATGCATAGAAGAAGTTTTGTTGGTTGCAGGCGAGTTGATGCATTTGCTTGCACGTTGACTTTCAGCATTTGTAGAGAATTGTAGCCTACACCTGCTGATTGGTCACCATTAATTAAAAGGACATTGTAGCGTTTGTCATATGCTACATCATGTGTATTGAAGACTCATCCTCCATTAGTCCCATATTTGTTTGATGAAATTCATTTGACTAATCAAAATTGTTATTTGATTTTAACGCTTTCATTTTTTTTATTGCACATTTATCAATTTTAAGGTTCAATTCACTGTGATCTTTTCAAGTCCAAATCTTTTGTATTTCATTCAAGTTCAAGTCTTTGAAGTCCCTTGTGGTCCCTTGTGTTCAAGTACGAGTTCCCTTGCATATGATTTAGTCAAGTTCAAATTCTGCTCAAAGGGTTCACAAGTTCGAGTCCATGTTTCTTTGTGATCATATTGAGTTCAGATTCTTATCACTCAAGTTAAGAGTGAATCAAGTTCAAGATGGGTTTAGGTTCATTCATCCTTTTGAGTTCAAAACACTTCTTGCTCAAGTTTGATTTTAAGTTCAAATTCCACTTTCATTTTGTCTAAGTTCTTGGATTTTCGATCCAAAGTCCAGCAGCCTCCCGACGTCTCCCCCGTTTAGGGGAAAAACCAAGAGGCAACCTTTCTCTCGACACTACGTGCGCGCTTCAGATAGGTGTCAAAATGACACCGCGGTTGCATATATATATTTTTTATCCCCGCATGCTACATGAGCATTTAAGGGTTTTTTTTTTTTATTATTATTATTATTACTATTATTATTATTATATTTTTTTTATCCCCTTTGCTGCAAGCGCTGCGCCGGTTTCCCTCCCTACTACGCCACGTGAGCACGTAGGGGGTTTGCCGGCTCGTCGCAAGCGTCGAGAAAGGATTTTTAGGCGATTGCCCGCCTCGTCGTAGGCGTCGCACTAGCTTCCCTCACCACTACGCTACGTGAGCGCGTAGAAGGTTTGCTAGTTCGCCGCCAATGACGAGAATGGGAATCTAAGTTCAGAGATTATACCTTTGCACGGGGGCGATGGGGTGACGGCGAAGTGCGCAAAAATCAACTTTTTTTTTTTTGATATAAATAATGATAATGTTAATATTAATATTATAATTATATCATATCATTATAATATTACTATTATTCAACATTAATGATATCATTAACGATGATAATAAAGTAATATTATTACAATAATAATATAACATTAATGTTAATATTAATATTAATTAATAACAATAATAATAATAATACATAATAACATTAATTATAGATAAGAGAGAAGAATCACCCTCTCTGAATTCAGCAGCAGGAAAATGAGGCGTCGGGCACAGTGTTGGCGTGGAACTTTTATTAGGTTCGGTGCAAGGACGTAGAGGAACGTCCGGTCGGAGGCAATTTTCCGTCCAAAAACTAGGTATTTGCTCGGTACAACTAGGTATTATTTGATAATAATGAAGAATACCGTTCTCTGAAGACCAATACCGAGAAATACCGAGTTGTACCGAGAAATACCAAGTTGTACCGAGTTTTTCTAAAAAAAACTCGGTACAACTTTTGTATAACTCGGTATTTGCTCGGTAAAGCCCGAAATAACTCGGTATTGGATCTTCAAATGATGGTATTCTTCGTTATTGTTTGACATTGCTCGGTACATCTCAGTATTTGGCGGGAATTTGCCTCCGACCGGATGTTCCTCTACGTCCGGTCGGAGGACGTAATAATTGTTTGTTGGCGTGAGATCGGATGGGAGAAGGTAGAGGCACTTGGAGGATTCGGCTATGGGAGCTGCTTGGGATCAAGGTAGGTAGTTCTCTTCTCTCTCTCTCTCTCTCTCTCTCTCTCTCTCTTTCTCTCTCTCTCTCTCTCTCTTTGTGAAAATTGGGAAGAAGAGGGCACGACACAGGGAACAGAGGAGGAGGTGGTCGGGGAGCTTGCGTGGGCTGAGTGGTCTCAGGTGGTTGAACTCGTGGAGCTCGGCTTCAGTACAGGAGTCGAGTAGGCTCGATTGCTTGGTGAGGAGATGGATTTAGCTAGAGGAAGAGAAAACGGACAGAGACGAGATTTGGATCGGACAGAGGCTAACGGGGTTCGACCAAGTTTGGGATGGAGGTCCAGTCATATAAAGGAGGAAGGGAGGTTGGTCGAGAGCTTTGAATGGAGGTTCCGCATGTGGAGAAGGAGAAGTCGGAGAGCTTGCGATTGTGGGAGGTCTCACGGGATTTTAGCGTGAGGGAGCAGCCTGAAGAGTTTCATCCCTCTCCCATTTTATCATTGAAAGCAACGACGAGAGCAGGAGCTGGATTTCGCGCGTGCTCTATCTGGAATAGAGCCGAATGCACAGTGAATCATTATTGTAGCAGGCGATGGATACGAATTAAGTAGGGATTCGGTAGAGATACGGGAAGATCTTAGCACATGTAATGATTTTAGGTTTAATTTATACATTTTTTTTGTCTCCTTGCTCTTGGCTGTAGAGTGTAGGATAACAAAGCCGAATATAAAATTGATTCTCAAAGGTCGTAATCGGGTATTCAGACCCGATGCAACTTTATCTCTACTTCTGACCATCCTTTATGAGTTGAATATAAAGCATGCACTCAATATATAGAATAAAAATTGATTCTTTATTCAAAGCTACTAGTGCCAAACATGAAAAATCAGCAACTAATTAAAATTCTCAATGACCACCCTCTTGCATTCCATGATTCAATCTTCTTTGAACAGATAAAGCGCACAAATAGCAACTAAAATATGAAAAGCATAATATCTATCATTCTGAAATTTAAAAAATGCCATATGCTGAAATCAATGAAGTCATATTTTCCTTTTGTTATTGAGAGTCTAATTGATGAATATTACACAAAGAAGAGTAGAAGTGCTCGGCATGCTTAATCAGATTTAGAATGTGGAATAAATTTATTTTGACATTGTAAAATGAAGTAATTTAGTCTATAAAGTTACAAGAATCTTCTAGAATTTACTTCAAAAATAATTTTGTTGCTCTCCGCACTCAATATAAAAGGTTTAGCATCATTTATTGATAACCTCTAGACCTACAAGAATGTATCATGATTTCTCCTAAAATGGAATTTTCCTAAAGTCCAATATCATTGATTAAATAAATATTGGAAAAAATTCATCTTTCACAAACTCTTAATGTTTAGCAACAAGTCATTCCTTTCAATGCAATTACATATTCCTTTCAATGAAAACAAAAAATATAAAGAAAATTAATTTAGCTGAAAATGAAATGGTCTACTAGAAATAAAGAATAAAACATCATAAATAAGAAAGTCAAACAAGGAATAGAAATCCATGTCCTCATTTAAAAATAAAATTATCAAACTTGAATAAAAGCAATCACAATCAAACCAGTAATAAAATTTAAAGCAAGAGAAAGGCGGAGGCGGACCTAACGAGTCGAGGAGCCATGCGCAGAAGAAGAAGAGAAAGGTGGAGCTAACGAGGGCACAGTCGAGGCCACATGAAGCAGAAGTCGCGGTCGAGCGCGGGATCGAGGCCACATGAAGAATAAGAAGAAGAAGAAGAATCGGCCAGCCAACCAAAGATGAGAGGCGAGACATTGAAATGCTAAGGCGAAGCCAAATGGCTAAATAAATATTAGGTTTAGCTGTTTAGTTTTTCTTTTAATTTCAAGAGGCAAACACCTCGTCTAAATGAGGCGAAGCGTGCCTTGAGACGCGCCTCAATTCGATTGAGGCGTACGTCTCAATATTCACTTTGACGCATTAACAGGCAAAATTGCGCTGAGAGACGTGCCTCTTATTGCACAATTTTAAACCATGATTGGGTGCAAAGCACTAGAATCCAAGCAAGGTGTAAACCCCCGCACCCCCCAACGTACACGACAAGCTTTGAGGTCCGAGACAACAGAATAACCAGATTGATAAACACAATCAGATTCTACACATAACACTAGGTGGGGCCCATGACCTCATTTATCACCTATAAGGGGGAACTCTTTGGGAAATATATAAGAGACATTTATCAAAAGATTTTGAGCTGTTCAAGAGGAGAGATAGTGGGGGGTTAGGGTTTATGTTTGAATTTTATTTGCTGCAATAGTTTTTGAGGGAGGGGGAATTTTCGGGTTTTTAATGGCTGCTAGAAATTGTGGGAGAGATGATTCACCACTCAAACAGTGAATCAACTTGTATCTTGTCTTTCATTGCTTGCAAATTAGTAATTACAGCTCCATTAGTGCTATTTCTGGATCTATTTAAATAAGCTTGTTGTTTTTAAATATTAATGTTCACTGTTTTGGTTATCAAATCCTATCAAATGAATGGTCAGAATTTTCTTCCATCAGTTTGTAAGATGGTTCAATTTGTTATAATCATGATCTGAACAGTGCAGGAAGGTAATTGATGTCTTCGTTGCTCACGTAGAGATGTACAGGATGGGCACGTCGATTAGCAGCAAAAACAAAGTTTCACCTAATATATTTGCAGGTACCAATACCTCAAATTATCTAATTATGTGATTTATCGAAATATATATTAAGCACTTGCCCTTTGTGGTAGAATCTTGCCAAGAAGCTCTTCCATTGGCTTGAGAGGCGCAGTTATTTTTGCTATTACTTCCACCACCTTAAAATATGAAAGCCTCCTATTTTTTGCCATGAACGCAATGAGTTCTGCGACCTGTACATGACCAATTATAACATTGTTAAGTTACCTGGAAAAGTAAATTTCTTGTCAATAAAGTTCATTCCCTTATTATGTTAGCACACGAGAAGGTGCTTCATAGTTCATATAAAGTTAATTCTTTAACTGTATTCTAAAATAAATCATATTTATCAAATGATGAATGAGAAGAGCAAACGTGATGGAGACCTATTTATAAACATATGCCCAGCGGAAATGATGAATGACAAGAACTAAGGTACTGGAGATCTATTTATAAACATATGCCAATGACACTTGTAGAATAGCAGCTTGAAGGAGCTAGATGCACAGTTAGAATGTGTTCCAATGTTTTGACACATCCAATTATACTGAATCAAGCTGTGGTACAAAGGCAGAATGCTAAATGGTTAGAAGAAGCTGAGAAAGCTTAAAGAAACTACATAATATGTTGCAAGTGACAAAGCCGAGTAACATTCTAAGAGGAAAAAAACAATTTCACCAACTCGTAATCACTAAAGTTCACGGTGCACATGTTGCGAGCAAATGTTGTCAGTTTGTTTGTCAACCACTTTTCCAGCTAGGGGCTTTCTATGAACCATAATTATTGTTGGTCTCAAAGTTGTCCATTGGAGCATTGTTGAGTCTCACTTTAGGATCCACACAAGATATAACTGTTGGAACAACTTAGATGACAATGGAAAATGTCCTGAGAAGATTTACCTAATGTGACCCATGGACTTTCATAGGAAGATTGTGTAGGGATAATGTAAGTACAATGAAAAATGAACTTTGATATTATAGCAAGTAAAAAGAAAAAAAAAATCTTTTTGGGGGAAAAGAGGGAAAAAATAAGCCTAAAAAGATAGAAATATGGGTCGTACTAAGCCTTAAGACACCTTATTTATAGGTGCAGATGATCAGAAATCAATAGACTCATTCACATCGGGAAAGCTAAGAGGATTTGGAAGCACAAGAAGGGTATCACGAGAAAATCCTAAATATTTCCAAGAGGAACCCAATCCATAAGCATTGCTACTAAAATACATTGAGGCTAAGAAGAACTTAGGACAGGTCTCAATATAACCCCTGAGAACCATAAATCTGAGTGCGAGAGAACACCGAAGGTAAAGTGTCAAAAGGGTCATCAAAAGGAGCTTGTGAGAGAAATAGTTTCGAAGCCAAGAAGATTGTTGACCGCATAACAATAATGACAACATGGCCAGACAGTTCACAATTTTGGTACTGCCCCCTAATTTTCCCACAACAAAGTCATGAATACATGTATCAATGTTGCATTGCATTCAATCCTATATGTCATAAATGCATGTCTATTACAATCAACATACCCTTCTTACATTCATCTATTTCTTTTTATCGATGAAACTTTTGAGTTTCTTGTTCAAATAATAGGAATCTAGATTATCCTACCACACACCGTTGATGTGTAATTGACAGGACCATTAGATCTCTTTCCAACATCCTGCTGAGGATAACGAATTAGTGATGAGATGATGAGCTGGAATGAATGTGAAGACATTGATTACAAGATTTGCAAATCTTATCTGAAACAGAGCCCCTTCACCATCTTCTCCTGTAACTCCGTTTCTGTGAACTTCTTGAAGTTGTTCCCAAATCTTCCTCCTATAGTCTTCTCCTTCGAGGTCTCCCGAAGAGTACACAGTGTCAACTCCTTGGGTGCCAAAAAGGTGGTAGTCATCCTATACATACCTCCCGAGCTGCTGCCTCCCATCCCTCTCACCAAATGCCTTTGATCCTCCACTAACTGAGCTAGTTCCATAGTCTCTCTCAAATCACGAGGCATCATCACTCTAAATGTTGCTCGAATCTCTGGTTTAAGCCCTTTCATAAATTTCCCCTCCAATACAGTCTCTGAAAGTTGGTTCAGCTTGCTAGCTAGGTGCTCAAACTACTCACAATATTCCACCACTATCCCCTCCACGTCAGGGCGAAGAACTGCTCATAGAAATCCCCTTCTTGGTTGGTTTGAAAATGTTCCAACAAACAGTCCTTAAACTCTCTCCAGGTTCGTATGGGTCGCCTTGTATCCCACCACTAGTACCATGCCAACACCTTCACCTCTAAGCACATCCAGCTATCGTCAGTGTCTCCTCCTCCGTCAACCTATTGACTATAAAATACCTTTCTACCCTATAGATCCACCCATGTGCATCATCTCCCTCAAAATAGGCATCTTCAGCTTTCTCATCCCCAGATCTCCTCCGTCACCTCTGCTTCTTCCAAAGTTTCCCATTCCCCAAGGGGGTGGTTATCCCCAATTGTACCAATCATTCTTTCTCCGCTCGCACCGAAATCTTTCATCCCAAGCCCACCTTCCCCCTTCAAAGTCAACACCCCTTTGATCATATTCAACTCCTCTCCTTTCAAATTCGATACCACTTCGATCATAATCAAGCCCTCGCCTATCAAATTCAACACCCCTAAACTCATGCTCTACCCCCTGACGCCTCTCCACACACCCTCTACCCAACTCCTCCCTAGGAATAAGGCCTAGGGGAGGCATTTTTTCTGCTCCCTACAACATCTCTACCTCTTGATCTTCCCTTCATCTGATTGGCTTAAGATATTCCCAACTTCCTTGGCTATCGACAGCTTCACTCACCTCCGACGGTGATGTTTTGGTTTGGCCCCCAAGCACTTTTTATTTTGATTTGACATCTCCAGGATGGACAATTTCAAATCGATCTTATCATGAATGATTGAATTTTCTTTTTTTAAATCTGAAACTTGAGTTTGTCCGATTTCTCCTTCCAATACTTCGACCATTCTGCCAGCCATCGGTATCTAAATCGAATAGCCCTAATACTAATTTGATAGGAAGTACTAATATAAAACCAATAAATCCCTTGCTGAAATTAGAAGAAATCATCCACGTGCAAGTTGTTTTTGAGAAGGTAGATGAATAACAATGAAACAAATATATTTGATGAAAGAAGAACAAAGCAAGCAAGATACAAGGGATCTTCAATTCGAGAGGAAGATCAGGCTCTCACAATCCCTAGCCAGTGGCTAGAGCCTAAGCACCTAAAAGAGATCTCAAATTTAGCCAAATTCAAGATGCCCTAACCCTAGGAAAACAAATTATTTAATGCATACAATCCAAAAAGAAACCTCTAAACAGCCCTACATTCAAATTTCCCCCCTAAGTCCTTCCTATTCGGGACAGTTTGATCCTGCAGTTTGAGCGGCACGCAGGGAGGTGGGGTTCTGCTCCGTCTCGTGAAAGCCCAAGCCGTTCTAGTGTGGACCGGGGTCCAACATTCTCTAGGGCTTATTTTGACAGATTGATTGTTGCTTCTTTTCCAAAAGGATGAAAAACAATCTCTATCCATTAATTAAATTCATATTGATCAATTGAAGAAGAAGTACCAAATAATTGTGCAAGTATAAAAGCCTCCCTAAGGATGGAAGGATCATCTTTTAAAGCTAGTCCTTTACTGGAGAATATAAAGTTGGAGAAGGAGAAGGATGTTGTTGTGTAGATGGCGATTCTCTTCAATGGCTAAGGATGATAATGAGTTATGACCATCACTATGGCACAGATTATTGGGTGCTCTATTTTGGACTTGTCAAAGAACGTGAAATGACAATCATTTTTTATGCATGAATGATTGTCTATTAAGAGGATTTGATATTCCTTTTCATTGCAAATACTTCTGTTTTTTTTTTTTTTTTTTTTTTTTTTTTTTTTTTGTATGTAGAGGCTTATTTTTTCTATTTAGTGACTGTTACTTATTTTATATTTACATTCTTCTTAGCATCTTCTTCCTCTTTTCTCTGCAGTTTAATTTTGAGCCTTCATCTTCTTCTCTCTTTCACAATGGTAATCCGTGCCCTTAGGCTATTAAAAAGTTTTGTTGAGTCGAAGTGGGAACCATTGGCTATGACAATAAGGATGGTAGGGGTTCTCAAATTCCACTTTAAGCACTAGGAGGGATCCCACAGAAATATTTCTTCAGAGATCAAACTACCCTTCTTGAAGTTTAAGAGAACTTTTTTCTTTGGATTGTTGTAAAGTTAACTTAAGCTAAATAACATGATGAGTATCATGCCAATTGTGATGCTATTTTGGGGGTACGTAGGGGAATGCTTGGAAATTGAATGTGTTAGACCATATTTTCAAAATGAAGGCTTAGCTGATGGCATTGTGTTCTTTGTGGCAAAACTCATAAAGATTAATAATCTATAGAATAAGATCAAGAATTAGAAGTAGATTTTCTTTATTAAAATCGATAGCCTTGCAGAGCCCCAGAGGATTAGTATGGACACATTAAGTCTTCCCAAGAAATCTTCAGACAACGCTATGCTGATTTAGAGGTTGATTGGCTCTAGTATTTATTGCACAGTTTGTCAGCAAGTGGGCCATCCTTTCCAAAAAACCAAATCCATCTAGTAATTTTGTGTAACATCTTTACTCATCTTGTGACTTTGATTGAAATTGTACTCATCTTGATGTCGTATTTTCAAGTATTGCCATTCCTAATATCTTACAATCCATGAGGCCCATAATATCTTACAAAGTTACAATCCTCAACAAATATTGGAAATCACCATCCCATCCTTTGAAAACTTACTTGGCCTAGTATGGATCAACCAACTATTAGCGACTTCATGGAAGAATATTGCATCTTCTAGTCCTTGACCTTTTGTTCCAATCCTTCCATCTCCATACTTTGACAAGAATATGACAATACATTCCTCGAAGCCTTTCATCATAAACAAACTCTGAAGATGTTTAATTTCAATTTCGTCCTCTGTTTGTGAAGGATAACATAAGAGACAATACTTGTGCATAGACATCAAATGTGGTGGAGTGGCATTGAAGAAGTTGAAAATCTTGACAATCTTTGAAACTAAAGGGTTAAAGGTCAAACAAGGGGTAATAAAATTTCATATAAAATCTGTCATTCTTGAAATTGTGATCCTTTAATTCAGTTTGACTTGCACTATCTAGTCAAAATGATTTGATTAGATTTTCTATAAACTAATTCTCTAACAGATTCTCTAAGAACTAACCTCTCTCTCTCTCTCATCTCATCTAGGTTGTACCCTTATTATCTCCTAAACCACTTGCCAGTAGTTTGTCGGATTGATGTTAATATATGTTATCAAATTATTTGATGTATGCCACTTCCTCTTTGTGATCATCCCCACGAAAGCACGCAAATGATGGGATTAGCTCCTGTGGTATGCAGCAAGGTGAACTGGTAGGAGAAACACACCGGAGGAGAGAGTTTTGGAAGCTTTGGTGATGAAAAAGAGAGTCATCGTGAGGGGAGTTAAGTAATAAGAAACAAACACTATAAATCAGAAAACTACTGTATTTCAGAAAAAAAAAACAACTATAGTGCAGGTTTTGCAAAAATTGTAGGAAAATACAAGAAAAACACTTGAAATTCACTGGTGGACAGAAAAAATGCAATATACAATTGATCCCTATTCGAGAGGAGGATCGATCTCTCCCAAATCTCTAGACGCCGCTAGAGCCCAAAAGAAAACCTAAATCTAAGAGATCTCAAATTTCAGCCAAATTTAAGATGCCCTAACCCTAAGAAAACAAACTATTTAATGCATACAATTCAAAAGGAAATCCCTATACAGTCTCTACATTCAATTTTCCCTCCAAATTCTCTCAAAAAACCTTCCAAATCTGCTAAGCTGGTTTAGGCGGATCCTCCGCCTTTGTTTGGAAAAGCCGGTCCCGTGTGAACCGGCTGGATCGGTCTAACAATACCCCTCTCAAAGATTCACCTTATCCGCAAGGTGGAAAGGTGACACCCTCCTCCACAAACGATAAGAATATGAAGAGTTCGGTCCTTACACCTGTGCCCCGGCGTCTGAAACAGAGTCCCTTTTCCCTCTTCTCCTGTAATTTCGTCTCTATGAGCTTCTTGAAGTTGTCCCCAGATCTTACTCCTGCAGTCTTTTCCTTCGAAGTCACACGAAGAGTATCTGATGTTGGCTCCTTGGATTTCAATAAGGTGGTGGTCATCCTGTAAGGGCCTCTTGAGTTGCTGCTTCCTATCTCTCTCTCTCCAGGTGCCTCTGATTCTCTACCAATTGAGCTAACTCCATAGCCTCTCCCAAATCACGAGGTCTCATCACTCTAACCACTGTCTGAATCTTTGGTGTCAATCTCTTCATGAAGTTCCCCTCTAGCACTGTCTCAGAAAGGCGATCCAATCGGCTAGCAAGGTACTCGAACCTCTCCCGGTACTCTATCATTGAGCCATCCTGCATCAAGGCGAAGAACTGCTCGTAGAAGTCTCCTCCACTACCTGTTCGAAAACGTTCTATCAAACAATCCTTGAACTCCCTCCAACTCCGTATGGGTCTTCGCATGTCCCTTCATTGGTACCAAGCCAAAGCCTTCCCTTCCAAACATAGGTCTGCTGCCTTCAATCTCTCCTCCTTCGTCAACCTATTGACACGAAATAACTGTCAATCTTGTAGATCCACCCGTGCGCATCCTATCCCTCAAAAATAGGCATCTTCAGCTTCCTCACCCTCAGATAGCCTCTGTTCCCTATATTCCCTTCATAACTTTCCCTTCCCCAAAGGGGTGGTTCCCCCCAAGTGTCCCAATCATCTCTTCTACATTCATACCCCAGCCTTTCATCAAATTTCCACCTCCTCTCAAATTCAACACCCATTGGATCATAACAAACCCCTACCCTTTCAAATTCAACCTTCCTTTGGTCATAATTACTCATTTTCCTTTCCAATCTCGCCCCTCTCCTCTCCAAATCAGCACATCTTCGTTCTTGCCTTACCTCCTCACGCCTCTCCTCATACCATATGCCCGGCTCTTTCTTAAGAATAGGCTATAGGAGAGGTATTCTCTCTTCTCCCTTTCGAGTCATCACCTTCTGATCTCCCCTTTGCCTGATTGGCTTAGGGTTTTTCCCATCTCCCTGGATGTCGGCGCTTTCCTTCCCCTCCGACGGTGATATTTTGGTTTGGTCCTCGAGCATTATTTTTGAATCAAACTTATCATCCTTTTTTAAATCAGAAACTTGAGTTTGGAGATATGAAATTTCAGATTTCATTTGTCCAATCTCCACTTCGAGGCGTTCCTCTAACACATTCATTTTCTTGGCCGCCATTGATGCCCAGATTTTTGTAGAAATAAAATTCTAGACTTCGACCTTAAAAAAAAAATAGCAACTTTCTCCTTCATCGGCCAAAATTCAGCTGCTGAAATTCATTAAAATCAGCCCACCAACGGTCCCAAGACTTGCTCTGATACCAATTTGATAGGAAACAACCACTATAAATCTAGAAAATAGCTAGATTTAAAAAAAAAAAACAAACATAGTGCAAGTTTTGTGAAAAATGTAGAAAAATATGAGAAAAACACTTGAAATTCACTTGTGGATGAAGAAAAACAGCAAGATACAATTGATCCTCTATTCGAGAGGAGGGTCGATCTCTCCCCTATCTCTAGACACCGCTAGAGCCCAAAAGAAAACCTAAATCTAAGAGATCTCAAATTTTAGCCAAATTCAAGATGCCTAACCCTAGGAAAACAAACTATTTAATGCATACAATTCAAAAGGAAATCCCTAAACAGTACCAACATTCAATTTTCCCTCCAAATTCTCTCAAAAACCTTCCAAATCTGCTCAGCTGTTTTTCGGCGGCTCGTCCAGGAGGCAAATCCTCCGCCTCTGTCACAGAAGTCGGTCCTGTGTGGACCGGCTGGACCGGTCTAACATTGAGCTACATAGAAAACAGCTAGATTTAAAAAAAAAAGCAAATATAGTGCAAGTTTTGTGAAAACCTAAATCTAAGAAATCTCAAATTTTAGCCAAATTCAAGATGCCTAACCCTAGGAAAAGTGGAAAACAAACTATTTAATGCATACAATTCAAAAGGAAATCCCTAAACAGTACCAACATTCAATTTTCCCTCCAAATTCCCTCAAAAACCTTCCAAATCTGCTCAGCTGTTTTTCGGCGGCTCGTCCAGTAGGCAGATCCTCCGCCTCTGTCACAGAAGTCGGTCCTGTGTGGACCGGCTGGACCGGTCTAACATTGAGCTACATAGAAGATACAAAGCGAGATTGTGTTAAGAGAAATGGAGATGATGCGTGTTAGCAACAACAAGGAGAAACTTACTTCTGCAGGCCAAATGTCCTGTAAGGCCTTAGATAGTTTAATGAAAAATACTACTTAAACCCATTTAGTAATTCATCTTTAAGCTGGAACCCATGAAGGACTTTAAACCATTTAATCTATTTTTTTAAATGCTATTGCACAACCTAACTTAATTTACACTCATAACTAGCACACTTTTATACACTATTCTACTCTAATCGATGAAATCTGTAGTTGCACTTGACAAGATTTAACATTTTAAAATGGTTCCAACGCTACTTCTCAGGTTGACAACCAGTTAGGGAGAAAGATAAACTTTATGGGAAGCAATAATATTGATTCACAAGAATAAGATGCACGTATGATGATGAGATCAGATACAAGTTGTGATTTGAAGAGGTGAAAGCAATAGCAGCAGATTGAATAGCTTGATTTATTTTATTTTTTCATGAGAGAGAGAAATGATACAGATGATACACAAATTAAGAGTAAGAGATATGAATACTTGCAGGTTTGAGACCAAACCACCGAAGTATGTATCTTCTTTTGCAAGAACAAGGTTGTGAGTTTCTTTGAAAGAGTCTGTAGGTCGCTCCATTCCTCCTGGCCTTACTATCTGTATTTCATCATTAAATTAAGGATTACATATTTTGCAGAAGTAAAGAGAACTTCAACCCTAGCTTGAAACTATAGTTGTGACATTTAATTATAAATGATGCTTGTGCTTACTGTGTAAGAAAGGCCACTTGCAATTAAAGCTACTTCAGCCTTTCTCTTCCATAGCAGAACCCCCCAAAACAAGCTCCACCCAAGGATTAGTAAAAGGAAATAAGAACCATAAGTTCACAACATCAAATAAGAGTAGCCGTAAAATAATATATTGAAATATGGTGTAGACCCTAGCTTGAAGTAGCTAAATTCATACAGTTTGCCAGAATATTTATAAGGCATGGGACATAGACAGACTCATATTTGAGTTCTGTATGTTTATCAAATTCACCATTACCACGGCAATGAACAGTTGAAGTACTGAATAATACAGAGTTGGCTGTGTTACTCATAATAGGAGGCCCCCTAATTAATTGGAACTCATTTTACTTTTACAACCTCATGAAAGATTTCCATGTCTTGATAAGTTGGTTTAATAGTTACTTGTGATGGTAGGAGACAAAAACTAAATTAAAAACCTTTGGTTTCCACCACTAGCCTCACTTACTTCAGAAAAGAAGCAGGAAATCCAATCTTGTTTGTACCCAAAGATGTGACCAAGATGAAGTGATCAACATTTGCAAGGGTTGCTGCAACATAATAAAGAATAATAAAAAACCTGAAAATAATGCACAATCTGGATCCCATATTTGCATTGAAGTTTAATGTTAAAGCATCTAAGAAAATTTAGTTTGTTAAAGTACCCGACAAGAAAACATAAAACAAATGCCAACTTCAAACCAGACATTTATTGCGACACTGTTCTCAGTTCTTAATTGTAAGATATAACTCAAAGAAAAGTCTGATCATTTGGGTATCCCCGCGACGGGAAAAGAATAACAAATATACAAAAACTGAGAGTGAAAGTAATCTCTATTAGATCAAATATTGTCCATAGAAAATATTAAAATTCTATAACTGATATAGCCAAAAAGAGTAGGAAGAAAGAGAGAGATTAAGTTTTAGAGATTGTCTTAGACAGATTGGGGTTATAGTGGACCACGTTGATTGCTTAGATAAAGAATGACAAGTCAAATTGAGCTAAGGATAATTTTTAGGAGAGAATTTTATAGGTCTCATAGTGATTTCATTTGGACAAAGTTTTGGCCAAAAGTACAGTGGGCTCCGAAAATTTGGCCCCGGCCTCCGCCCGCACTGTTGTTTTGCTTTTTCTTTTGGCGGGGGAGTTTTAACGGAATAAGTTACGGGGTAAATTTTGGAAGGCGGATGGGTTTGTAGATAAGACACTACCCAGAGATTTCACCCTCATTTTGCGAGGACTTCATGATATGAGTTCTGGTTTCCTATAGGCGCAAGCCCCTATAGTTAATTACCCCTCCCGATAACGAGAGAGAACTTTCGATTAAGGCTAGTCGTCGATCAGATACCTAGAGATATGTGTAACTAGCATATAGTAGCAGCATGAGTATTTGGAATGATTGGAGACTTGGATTTGAATTTGGACATTAAAAAGATTGTAGGTTTGATATTTAAAATAGAAATTTTCACCATCTTGCACTTAAAGCGGATGGTGGGGGAATGGATGATGGACCCGATAGAGATCCCATGGTTTCGTCGTCCCGGGCCATCGTGATCCCTGGTCTACTTAGTTAGAGGAGGTAGTCGACCCAACCTGACAGAAGGATCCTTGTCAGCAGCCATGGGTTGCTTCGTCCAAGGGGACCTTGTAGACCTGGGTTGGATATTTGCTTAAGGGGACAAATTTGAATCCACCTTAGCTAACAGAGGGCTTTGTGCCCTATCGATCATATCCTATTGATTCATATCTCAAGGATTTGATGCCATTAAGAAGCATATTGGCTCTGGCCATAACCAGTATTTCGTGGTGCCATTTGGCGGCAAAATCACTCGGTTCAGAGGACCCCGGGTCATAACCGTTTATCCTGCGGTGCCATTTGGCGGCAAAACCGCCAGTTAGAAGACATGTACCACGTCCTTACTGGCAGGAGATTGTTTGAGAATGAATCTTAGTGATATTTTCGACTAGGCATTTGGCTCTAAGTGAGTTAAAGTTATATTTGAATTTGTCCACCCCGGCAAACTGTTGCAGAGGGTGGATGGATTTTGTTTTAAATGATTGATGGATTTTATTTCAATTTTAAATATGTTGGAATTTGGGATTTGTTGGGTTTGGATTTTGAATGGACTTTTGAGAGGCATTTGAAATATGCCTGAAATTAACCCCTCCGGTTGAGGTCTTCAATTTTAAATATTTTTGGAATTTGAAATATTGGGATTTTTGTAGGTATTTGGGTGAAGTGTTGAAGGCATTTGAAATTGTTTGTGAACCCCTCCGGTTGAGATTAGCATTCAACACGGCCATCATTGAGGTGTTTGGGTGCATTTTCATTTGTAGCTTGAACCTTGTCGACTCTGTCTGGCTGTCGACAGAGGATCGGGTTTCGTAGGCTTTATGCCTTTGTTAGTGAATTGATATTGTTATAGGCCTTGAAGGCCTAATATGAATATGTTAAAACAAATATACCGGTCGCCACAACCTTATATTTGCTTAATGGTTTGAACCATGTCGACTCCTATCGATCCGTATAGAAGGACCGGGTTCGAACTTAAATTCACTTATTGACCAGCTCAACATCCCTAGATGTCACATGTGTACCAATAGCACGCTCGTCGGGGCCCATACAAGTGTGTATACAAACTACGGTGCACGTGCAGGGGTATTTTGCAATATATGTAAACGCCTTCTGTCCACTTGTAAGGATGTTGCGGATCCGGTGGCGTGGCATTATAGTCTGGTGCACGCCTTCTGTCTGCTTGTATGATTATTGCAGATCCGATGGCGTGGCAAAGCAGCTTCTAAATAGAGTTATTCGCTGCTTTATACAGGTAGACTGTCGTGCATTACTTGTTGCTTTCTGCAAATGTATCATAGTGCACTAACTAATCTCCTGCCTCGGGTCGTAGGAGCTTGCACTTGTCATATTCTCCATGCATTTTATTTTGGTCTTTGGTCTTTTCAGTACATCCGCTGCTGTTACAAGTGAGCAGGTAGATGTATTCTTTCACATACTGAAATTGACTTCATGATACTGCATTTTGCTGAAGTCTTTATGCATCTACCCATAAGTAGCATGTGGCATGTACATCTGTCTTTTTAAAGAGCTTGTATTTATTGCAGATCTTTATCCTTGCTTGTAGAAGGTTGATACATTTGATTGATGTTGGGTGATTATCGACTGTATGAATGATTTAGTATCCACTACATATTAATCGTCATCACCTATAAGTGGACTACTATATGTGTGAGGACTTTTCTACATTTGCTTGTGGTTAGCATGCTGAGCATATAACAAGTTTTTTATGACGATCCATAGGGGTTTGTAATAATTTGTACTTGTTATGCATCATCTGCTTCTACTGGTAGAATATCAGTGTATTTGTCGCTGCCTTATTAGAAACTGTATAAATATCTCGATGCTTGTCGTAGGCTCCTTGTACCCTTCTTGTAGATGACATGTTGTGTGCACAGCAAGTCTTCTACAAATTTTCATAGGCATTTGCATTTGTTATACGTCCGCTTCTTCATGTAGAGAACCAGTGTATTTGACCTATGTTGAATTATTGTCGATGATGTGTTCTGCTTGTGAACATCTTATGTTGCATATTAATTGCTATGGTTTGTTGAGGTTCAGTGCATTTATCTGATAATTACTCATCACCTCCGCGCATGGTTTAAAATTGCGCAATATAAGGCTCGCCTTGATGCCCGCCTTTGCGCAATTCCAATAAAAAACGCCTCGATGCTTACGCCTCGAGTTTTTTTTATGAGGCTTGTGCCTCAACTTGGGTGAGGCCCGCCTTGAGGCTCGTCTCGCCTCACTAGCATGAGGCTTACGCCTACCGCTATATATATTAAAAGTTACATAAATCTTGAAATAAATGCCCGACATTAGACTCTATAGGAGAGGAGGAAGGGGAGAGAGTTGTTCATCATAATGATGATTCAAATGAAGAACACCTTAGTGATGATAGTGTTGATGACTTATGAGTTCTTATGTGATATGTCATTGCTATTTATTTTTGGAAATTGGAATTATATGTTAATGAAAAGAATACTGGGATTTAGGAAAGATAAAATTTTGAGTTGAACTATATTTCATGTTGTCTTATTATTGGGATATTTTGATTTCACTTCATATCTTATGCTTTTTTATGTTTTATATTATTCACTCATTAGAATATAAAAAATTTATTATTTTATGTTTACGCAATCTTTTGATTTTGAGGCTTACGCCTCAAAACGCCTTGAGGCTTACGCCTCGCCTCACGAATGAAAAACGCCTCAATACCCGAATACGCAATTTTAAACATTGCCTCCGCGTATGAATATTACTATGCATATAACACATCATCCATCATTGCTAGTAAGAGTTCACATCCTCTACGACCTTCTATTTCATTCATGTAGAAAATCCGTCACACTGGTGATGTATTCACCAACACTACTTGTAGATAAGATCATTATATGAATGAAGAGTCTTATATGTTAACTTGTAGGAGCTTGTATACTTTGTCGGTGTGTTACCCTTGTTTGTACTTTTGCTTGTACGTTGAATTGTTGTTGATAATGGAGACTTCGCTGCATTCATCTGTAAATCTTTTATGAATATCCCCATTGTAACTGTCTTTGCTCATCAAGTTCATATCACTTGCTCTTAAGAGTGAGATCATGGTTTAAAATTGCGCAATATGAGGC